TTTGTACTTTGCAATATCTTTGGTGACATGGGGCGGAGGGGGGGCAAAATCTAGTTCTTAAAATGAAATCGTAATCCATTTCTCCACTTCAGCTATTTATTTGGGTGTCAACTGAGTGTTTCCCACACGCACACAAGATCGTAAATGAATTGCAAGCGTTACATTCATCAGACAATGTGTCCTTGGGCGGGGATTGGGCAGGGGGGAACTTAAATTGCACTCGCAGTGAAAAGGAATCCCATCAGGACCGCTGATAAATTAAAATACCGGCCGGCAGTCAAAGGTTGAAGACCCCAAGACACACGATTGGTGACCCCGAGAGACAGGTGGCGGGAGCGTGGCTCTCAGTAAAGCGCGACGCTTCGTGAAACGTTGGGTCGTTATTTTTAGGTTTGTTATTAAATCGTGACCCACGCTCTCCCCCCCCCCTCCCCCCATGTCAAGTTTCTGTGGCAAAGGCAACGGTCACAAACCTCCTCACGTACCTCGCACAAAGCACGCGATATGCCGAGGGCTCTGAGCAAACAGCGATAGCCCGCTGGCCTGCTGTTGGCATGCCCACAGCGATGGGAACTGCTCGTTGCGAGTACCATGTGGACACTCTGTGTTGCCATGAAACGTGAAAACGTTGCACGTGGTTTGGAGGCAATTATGCTGGAGTCCACCCGCTCTTCAATATGACACACACACACACACACCGACTTTCGAATTTTATTTCCCCCCATACTCAAATAGGTGCACATTTTTCAAGTGAAACATCTATTGTTGAAAATGTTACACGTTGATCAACTCGTCACATTTAGCTCTTTGTTATTCCACTGCTGGATGAAGGTCTGGCTGCCTCTGCCGTGTTGATCTTTCGGGAGTTTTTTGGTTGACCTTTTGGTTGACCTTTTGGTTGACCTTTTCCGCACGAGGGTTACCGGGACCGTTTCAGGTATCACTCGCCACTGACGTTAGCTGTTGCCCGAAATCAAACTCGGGTCGCTGGGTTTATGTCGTGTGTATGTTGAACTTCTGTCGCACCGTACGTAACCAACAGTGCTAATTGGAGCAGTACACCGTTATCACAATAGCGTTGCAATTAAACAAAGCATACCTTTAAAAACTGTTTGGCTAAAGACCACGTCGCATATAATATTTGAAACACCCCCTGAATTTTTAGAATGCTGAAAATTACTTTTATCTGCGTAAGTGGAGTAACTTCTCTTGCAATTGAAACCCCTCTCAAGCATGGGGATGAGCGAAATAGTCCAACAAGCAAGAAAGTTACGTTCAACGAGTATTGTCGATTTATAAATCAGAGTCTTATTTAAAACCCTAACACAAGTGTCGCGATGGGACTGCAGCTATGGTGGCCACATCTGAGGTATGGGCATATCACGAGAAGCGGAAGATCTCACAGTGGCAGAGGAGGGGTGAACTTCGTGAAAACGCATTATCTGGAGCGATGGATTATTACGCAGCTGACCAAAGCCAGAATATTGAATGTGTCCCGGGAAGACTTACAGATTACCAATGAAAGCTTCCTCAAAAAGAGGACGATCCTGGAAAAACCATGACAGGTAGCAAATCTGAACTGCACCTGTGACAAAGCCTGAGGCTTGTTTATGGAAACAGTTTGTCCAAAACTCCGTATTTTGCTTGCAACCCGCATTGAGTAGAGCGGGCGGAATGCCGGCAAACACAAGGAGGGCTTTGAAATGAGGGCGACCGTGACCTCACCTGACTCGCGACTCTGACGAACCCAGTGTCTATGTGCAATAAAGAAGGGGCCGTTGCTCCAACCGTCTCCCATTCTCTATTGCACATTTAATAACCTATGGAGCAGACACCACTCTCTGTCTCCGCACCCAGGCCTCACTGCTGGAAGGCAGTCAGGAAGAACATGCAATTCATAATGTATAGAGTGTGCGATAAGGCTGGCACACACACAAAGACAAAGACCCCAAGTATAGCCTGAACAGATTGTTGGGGTAAGTACTGTTAGCGAGCACTGCTGAAGGCTGGAACGGCACACGAGGGGGCATCACGCCCGGCCGCCTTTGTCTCCCCAGTGGCGATGTTTGCACACCTCACCAGGTACTAACTTGAGGCTGAATCGACCTTGGGGAAGCCGAAGAACGGTTCACATGATCGTCACCGATGGTGGCCGTGAGCGGGAATCGAACTCGGGTTCTCAGGTTCGTAGTGCAGCGCCCTAACCGGTTGCACTACCGCTCCCCACACAGACACACGCACCAGCACTAATGCGCACACGACCACACGCACCAGCACTAATGTGCACACGGCAACACGCACCAGCACGAATGTGCACACGGCCACACGCACCAGCACGAATGTGCACACGACCACACGCACCAGCACGAATGTGCACACGACCACACGCACCAGCAGTAATGTGCACATGGCCACACGCACCAGCAGTAATGTGCACACGACCACACGCACCAGCAGTAATGTGCACACGACCACACGCACCAGCAGTAATGTCCACACGGCCACACGCACCAGCACGAATGTGCACACGACCACACGCACCAGCACGAATGTGCACACGACCACACGCACCAGCAGTAATGTGCACACGGCCACACGCACCAGCAGTAATGTGCACACGACCACACGCACCAGCAGTAATGTGCACACGACCACACGCACCAGCAGTAATGTCCACACGGCCACACGCACCAGCACGAATGTGCACACGACCACACGCACCAGCACGAATGTGCACACGGCCACACGCACGAACAAGAAAGAGCCAAAATAAACAAACATTGAATGTGTCAACAAAAGCCACCTTCAATGGACTGGTTGGACCTAGAGTCCATATGAGCCAGCACCACTCATGCAACATTACATCACACCGGCAGGCATTGCTGCTGTGTCAGCAGTCCGATCGAGCGCGCTATATATGGAAAAGCTCACTGCTGCTAGCCCAGCCGTGGCCGTCACCACATTGACACCAGAACTTCATTGCCTCTGCGGGATTAACTTCGGTTGTTGCTTGCTTGTCCACGTAAAAACTCCGAAACGCAATCACATAAAGCCGACCGGGTCTTTGTGCCTTATTTGTATCGATATCTTTCGATTTAAAGCTTTCGTGACTGCAATGATTCATCTTCTTTAGTTCTTTCGGTAAAGTCACGTAGAATGAGAATAAAATAATAAATTGATAAAATAAAATAACACAATAATATTCTCACGACGTTTCGGCCACAACACAAGCGGCCTTCATCAGGTGAAGGGACGAGACTGTCTGGTAGGACAGCCGCTTGTGTTGTGGCCGAAACGTCGTGAGAATATTATTGTGTTATTTTATTTTATCAATTTATTATTTTATTCTCATTCTACGTGACTTTACCGAAAGAACCAAAGAAGATGTATCGATATCAATCAAGAGACTGCTGCGACAGCTTAAATGGGTTCTCGAAATGCATGCAGGTTATTTTAAAACACATTACATGTAAAAATGTTAAGCAGTTTGAGATTTCTAGATCTTTGTTGCTATGTTGTCATAATTTAGATATTGCTTGGATACTTTAGACGATAGGCTGATTTGGCAGGCCAGTCACTCGGCAAGCAACTTTATAAAACACTTATAGGGTTCCGTAGGCAAATGTCACGATGCTCAACCGATCCGTACACATTTCCCATCCCACTCCTCGTGATATAGCAACCACCTCACTCCGATTCACTGCACATCTGGGTGAAAGTTCGCTCACTGCGCGAGAAAAGTCGTACATTAATTCCCTTTCATCAGAGCCCAGGGTAGAGCAGCAGATGATCACAAACCACATTTGGTTTAAAGCCTCGCTGAACTTTTTCCACTTGATAAGTTATCAATTTCCAGTGTTGGACCGCATGATCGCATCCCACCATCAGCAGATAACTATGGGGGTAAGGGTCGCTTAACACGCATTCCGTGAGTGCGGAGGCAGCTCTTGCCAACGCTGTGTTTGGGCCACACACTGGCAATGTTATTTATTAATCCATTTATTTATCTATCTCCTGTCTGTCTATGAAATCTAACAGATTTGGCGGTCGATAATTATTTTAACTGTCTCCCCACAGTTGTGGCAGAAGTGTCCCCTTCACTGTGCAATGGGACATCGAGGATCTTATGATATTGCTTACAAAGAGTCAGGCACCATCGTCATCATCATCAGCCATAGTCAGTCCACCGCTGGATGAAGGCCACCCCAAGCCACACTTCCACCTTTCGCGAACCTGTGACGTAGCAATACATGTTGGCACCTGCAAAAGAGCTCTTTATCAAAGTCCCAAAAATGGTAACAAAAGTCATTACCTTCCCGACAGAGCAGGTCACGTGTATTTTTGTTTGCAAAGGAGATCTTAGTGGGTTGAAGTTTAGTTAAATGATGGACAATTATTTGGCATTGCACATGTTGTCCTCATGCACTAAACTTGTTATTTTTATTGCAGGATAGAGATGAGCAAAACATATCAATATATCGGTAACATAGATGTTTTGGGTCGGATATAAACAGGGTTTTCACATCAATTTCGATCCCTTCGATAAGCATCTGAACGTCGATGTTTGAGTTGTTATGTTGTCCTTTCGATGTATTTTTCATGCCGTCAAAAAAAGTGGAGATATACAAAATATCCCGCCGCCAGTCCAGCCACCTTAATGTTCGGCTCTTTGAACATGTAAAAAGGTCCCTCCACAAACGTCGTTGACACGCGCAAGTAGGTTATGTTCTGCAGATAGGTCTACAGTTCATATTCAGCAGAGTAGACCTACGTTTGCTGTTGGCTTAGTGTCCTGACTTTTTGGCCACCCTATATACACTTGGCAGGTGGGGTTGCGGATGTGCCGGTGGGGGCGGCGGTGGGTGACCACTTTAGGTCTGTTATGGAACCGGTCACGTTGCAATGCATGAGTTGATCAATCATTCAAGAGAGTTACCTTGTCGCATAATTCATTTTGCATTGCCCATATAAATAAATGCATAAATCATGAGCACGATCATTAACCCAGCAAATTTGCACCGTTGGGCCAACATTGGCATGTGATTGAAACCGTTGGACCATCGCTGGCTCAGCTTTGGCCCAACGTTCCAGGGATGTCGAGCCCCCCTATTCGCCAGGGGGCAATAGTGAGCCGGTGTCGTTACAACGGAGACCGCTCACAAACGCCGCTACCATGGACAGCGCCCAGACGCGGGCAGGCCCCATTCGTTGTCGAATCCTGCACCTCAGTACATCATCTAGTCGTCGTTATTTCTTTATTCACCAGGCGACGTTTCGTTGACGCTCACGACGATTAACCCAAACGTATTCCATATGTAGTGCTGCGTTAAACCAAAATGACCAATACCACCGGCTCCCTGCTCAAAACTGCATTGGCTGCAGGGGGTGTATGGCTGCTCCTCTGGGATGGCGTTGCTGAGCCACTGGTGACAAGTTCAGGTTCATATGACGGAGCCAGTATCTTCAATACGTGCTGCGGTTAATTTACAATTTGCTGTATTCCTGACATTGGCTGAAGTTTATAAGCATCCAGAATTGAAAAGCGATTGGTAAGTAGCATAAAGTGTGCATTCACCTTTAACAACGCGTGGGCTACAGTGAAACTATTTAAAGGAATGCATGCATACTTACATCTCGAGAACGCACCAATGTAGTGTTGTATTTGTTTAATCGCTGATTACGGCAGGGATATCTAGCCATAGGTCGTTGGACTCTTGTTTGTATGTATGTTGAATTTATTTAACACCATACGTGCTAATCTTAGGTGCGAGGGAAAGACGTAAAATTAAACACAAAAAGCAATTCTAAAGAAATTAGTTTTCAATTTAAATTTAAAAGTGCATAGCTCCAGTGGCTTCGTAATGTCGGAAGGAAGAGCGTTCTCGACGGCCGCAGAAGCGCGCAATGCAGCTTCGATGGTTAGCCAACAGCCACTGCGAGCCTGTCCAAAGTTTGCGTGATAGTGTACGCTCAATGACCAGATCGGCAAGCTATTCTTCAATACGGCAGGGAGTATCCAGCCGTGAGTCTTTGAGTAGTGAATACAATCTTAGGGGCACTGTTGAGGGAGCACACTCAGTGGTGAGGGGTCAAGGAATCCATATTATGCAAATGGGCCAGTATTTTAATTACAAAAACAGTGGTCGTGGTACAGACATGTTTCACGAGTGGAACAGGCAGAAAGCATCGATCATAAAAAAATAACTGAATATTTCAAGATTGTGGCAGTAGGCGTTGGAAAGTGTATCAATGGAAAAGCACGTGCAGCTGTCAATGCGATTTTGCGTAAAAGTCAGCCAAGGTGGCGCTAAATCAATTCGAGCAGTGCTCTGAGGTTTGCATCGTAAGTAAATTCTACGTATTCCCGTACATCGGAAGGGGTCACGATAAATACACATGTTCGGGTTACACCGACCAGGATAGCCTAATTCACTCTGACCTCTGGTAACATCTCCTGGCCGCCTCACAGCCCTGCAGGTTATCATTCGTGTGCGATGCTCCAACTCCTCCACTCCAACACGCCGCACTACAGATGCGCATCACCAACGAGGCTCCTCCACACCCTGAAAGATTCGACTTTCGTGATTGAGGCGTTCGGGAGGAATATACATTTGAATTATCTTTTGATTTGACATTTTTTTTTACCTGCGCTTCATTGTAGCTACCTAAAAAAACTAAAAAACTACAGAGCAGACAGCACCGTCTCTACCAGAAGACAACTCGCAAATCGTCCACTGGCTGATGCCCATCCAAGATCCGAGTGAAACCTGCAAAGAGCAACCCAAACCTCTGAGTGAAAACGCACAAGGACAATCTTGAGGTTATGGTTTGGTCACAGTGTAGCCATCTGTGAAATTTAAAGAGCAGGACTGGCTTTCATTCCTGTTTGTTCTGCCAATGTGCTGTTGGCCTTGTGAAGACATCCAGAACTATATGGATACCTAATTAAGGCTGTAAGTCACCTAAATGTTCGGTCCAGGAAGCCGATCGATTTTGTTTGAATCCTTAAGAATTCTCGATTCACAGCCCAAGTCCAGGGTCGGGAAATAAACACAATGCTAATGTGTTTTCCAAGTTGAATTTTATTCTAATCTCATAAGTAAGTGGTGCACTTCACCTCCAGATGACCATCGGAATTTGTTTGGACAATTCAACAATTCTGATAGCATTTGCAAAGATCAGGGTTAGATTTGACAGTAGTACCAGCAAATATTTTACAATCACTGGAATTGAGAAATTAGGGTATAATCAAACATTGAGATAGCATTTTCATCTCAGATTTGCTGAAAATATAGTCATTATAGCAACCTATTACAACAATGAAACTTAACCCGAGGACATCATTACACTTTGAAGGTTGCAATGTTCCAGACGGCGGCAGAAGCGCGCGATGCAGCTTCGATGGTTACGGAACAGCCACTGCGAGGCTGTCCAAAGTTTGCGTGATAGATGTACAGTGAGAGAAAAAAGCATTTGATCCCCTGATGATTTTGTACGTTTGCCCACTGACAAAGAAATGAGCAGTCTGTAATTTTAATGGTAGGTTTATTTGAACAGCGAGAGACAGAATAACAAAAAAAATCCAGAAAAACGCATGTCAAAAATGTGAAAAATTGATTTGCATTTTAATGAGGGAAATAAGTATTTGACCCCCTCTCAATCAGAAAAATCTCTGGCTCCCAGGTGTCTTTTATACAGGTAACGAGCCGAGATTAGGAGCACACTCTTAAAGGGAGTTCTCCTAATCTAAGCTTGTTACCTGTATAAAAGACACCTGTCCACAGAAGCAATCAATCAATCAGATTCCAAACTTTCCACCATGGCCAAGACCAAAGAGCTATCCAAGGATCTCAGGGACAAGATTGTAGACCTACACAAGGCTGGAATGGGCTACAAGACCATTGCCAAGCAGCTTGGTGAGAAGGTGACAACAGTTGGTGCGATTATTCGCAAATGGAAGAAACACAAAAGAACTGTCAATCTCCCTCGGCCTGGGGCTCCATGCAAGATCTCACCTCGTGGAGTTGCAATGGTCATGAGAACGGTGAGGAATCAGCCCAGAACTACACTGGAGGATCTTGTCAATGATCTCAAGGCAGCTGGGACAATAGTCACCAAGAAAACAATTGGTAACACACTACGCCGTGAAGGATTGAAATCCGGCAGCGCCCGCAAGATCCCCCTGCTCAAGAAAGCACATATACATGCCCGTCTGAAGTTTGCCAATGAACATCTGAATGATTCAGAGGACAACTGGGTGAAAGTGTCGTGGTCAGATGAGACCAAAATGGAGCTCTTTGGCATCAACTCAACTCGCCGTGTTTGGAGGAGGAGGAATGCTGCCTATGACCCCAAGAACACCATCCCCACCGTCAAACATGGAGGTGGAAACATTATGCTCTGGGCGTGTTTTTCTGCTAAGGGGACAGGACAACTTCACCGCATCAAAGGGACGATGGACCGGGCCATGTACCGTCAAATATTGAGTGAGAACCTCCTTCCCTCAGCCAGGGCATTGATAATGGGTCGTAGATGGGTATTCCAGCATGACAATGACCCAAAACACACGGCCAAGGCAACAAAGGAGTGGCTCAAGAATAAGCACATTAAGGTCCTGGAGTGGCCTAGCCAGTCTCCAGACCTTAATCCCATAGAAAATTTGTGGAGGGAGCTGAAGGTTCAGGTTGCCAAACGTCAGCCTCGAAACCATAATGACTTGGAGAAGATCTGCAAAGAGGAGTGGGACAAAATCCCTCCTGAGATGTGTGCAAACCTGGTGGCCAACTACAAGAGACGTCTGACCTCTGTGATTGCCAACAAGGGTTTTTTCCACCAAGTACTTAGTCATGTTTTGCAGAGGGGTGAAATACGTATTTCCCTCATTAAAATGCAAATGAATTTACAACATTTTTGACATGCGTTTGTCTCTCACTGTTCAAACAAACCTACCATTAAAATTATAGACTGATCATTTCTTAGTCAGTGGGCAAACGTACAAAATCCGCAGGAGATCAAATACTTTTTTCCCTCACTGTATGCTCAATGACCAGATCAGCAAGCTATTCTTCATTACGGCAGGGAGTATCCAGCCGTGGGTCTTTGAGTAGTGAATACAATCTTAGGGGCACTGTTGAGGGAGCACACTCAGTGGTGAGGGGTCAAGGAATCCATATTATGCAAATGGGCCAGTATTTTAATTACAAAAACAGTGGTCGTGGTACAGACATGTTTCACGAGTGGAACAGGCAGAAAGCATCGATCATAAAAAAATAACTGAATATTTCAAGATTGTGGCAGTAGGCGTTGGAAAGTGTATCAATGGAAAAGCACGTGCATCTGTCTATGCGATTTTGCGTAAAAGTCAGCCAAGGTGGCCCTAAATCAATTCGAGCAGTGCTCTGAGGTTTGCATCGTAAGTAAATTCTACGTATTCCCGTACATCGGAAGGGGTCACGATAAATACACATGTTCGGGTTACACCGACCCGGATAGCCTAATTCACTCTGAACTCTGGTAACATCTCCTGGCCGCCTCACAGCCCTGCAGGTTATCATTCGTGTGCGATGCTCCAACTCCTCCACTCCAACACGCCGCACTACAGATGCGCATCACCAACGAGGCTCCTCCACACCCTGAAAGATTCGACTTTCGTGATTGAGGCGTTCGGGAGGAATATACATTTGAATTATCTTTTGATTTGACATTTTTTTTTACCTGCGCTTCATTGTAGCTACCTAAAAAAACTAAAAAACTACAGAGCAGACAGCACCGTCTCTACCAGAAGACAACTCGCAAATCGTCCACTGGCTGATGCCCATTCACGATCAGAGTGAAACCTGCAACGAGCAACCCAAACCTCTGAGTGAAAACGCACAAGGACAATCCTGAGGTTATGGTTTGGTCACAGTGTAGCCATCTGTGAAATTTAAAGAGCAGAACTGGCTTTCATTCCTGTTTGTTCTGCCAATGTGCTGTTGGCCTTGTGAAGACATCCAGAAGTATATGGATACCTAATTAAGGTTGTAAGTCATCTAAATGTTCGGTCCAGGAAGCCGATCGATTTTGTTTGAATCCTTAAGCATTCTCGATTCACAGCACAAGTCCAGGAGGGTAAATAAACACAATGCTAATGTGTTTTCCAAGTTGAATTTTATTCCAATATCATAAGAAAGTGGTGCACTTCACCTCCAGATGACCATCGGAATTTGTTTGGACAATTCAACAACTCTGATAGCATTTGCAAAGATCAGGGTTAGATTTGACAGTGGCACGAGTAAATATTTTACAATCACTGGACTTGAGAAATTAGGGTATAATCATACATTGAGATAGCATTTTCATCTCAGATTTGCTGATGATATAGTCATTATAGCAACCTATTACAACAATGAAACTTAACCCGAGGACATTATTACACTTTGAGCATTGAAGGTTGCAAAGTTGGGCTCAAGATAAATACGTACAAAAAGACAGTCACGTAAAATGAGTTTGCAAAAGCAAAATAAATCATTAGTGCAGTGTTACAATTACTCATTTGAGGCTCAGCCGACCTATTCGAGAACGCACCCAAGAGGACGCCCACCGTGGGAATGGGTAAATGGCAGAGCGAGCCTCACCCTCCATCCCCAGGACGGAGGGTGAGGAGCGGTGCGATCCCAGTATGGCAGGGAGAGCGATGGGCTCAGACGGACTGGACCTTGGCGTTGGACACTAGCTATTGTGACGTGGAATGCCACGTCACTTGGGGGTAAGGAGCCAGAGCTCCTGGAGGAGGTGCAAAGGCACCGACTAGATATAGTGGGTCTCACCTCCTCGCACAGCATTGGCACTGCAACCAAACTTCTCGATCGGGGGTGGTCTCTCTCCTATTCCTGAGAAACCCCTGGTGAGAGGCCCCGGGCGGGTGTGGGAATACAGGTCCCCGGCTGGCTGTTGGTCAGTTGGAGTTTGTCTCAGTGGATGAGAAGGTTGCCTCAATGAGACTTCGCGTCACAGAAAGGAAAACTCTGACTCTTGTCTGTGCTTCTGCGCCAAACAGCAATTCAGAGTATTCGGCCTTCATGGAGACGGTCGGTGCAGTGCTTGAGAGAGTGCCGCCTACCGACTCCACAGTCTTACTGGGCGACTTCAATGCTCACATGGGAAACGATGAAATACCTGGAGAGGTGTGATTGAGATGAATGATCCCTCTGATTTGAACCCCAAGGGTGAGATGTTATTGGAAACCTTGCGCTTATCACGGAAAGTCAATAACACACACCGTGTTCGAACACAAGGGTGCTCATGAGTGTGCTTGGTACCAGAGCAACTTGGGCTGAAGGTCAATGATTTACTTTATAGTTGTATCATCGGACCTAAGGCCGGATATTCTGGACACTCGGGTAAAGAGAGGGGCAGATCTGTCAATTGTTCACCACCTGGTGGTAAGTTGGATTCAACGATTGAGGCACCGACCAGATAGACGTGAAAGGCCTACACGAAGAGTGCGGGCTTTCTGGGAACGTTTGGTGGAAGACCCAGTGCAGAAAGATTTCAACTTCCACCTCTGGGAAAACTTCTCCTGCACTCCCAGGGAGGTTGTGGACATTGAATCTGAGTGGACAATGTTCAGGACCTCGATTGTGGATGCAGCTGCGAGAAGCCGTGACCTGAAGGCAGTTGGTGCCTGTCATGGAGGCAATCCTAGGACCCGCTGGTGGACACCAGTGGTGAGGGAAGAAGGCTTTCCTACGAGCTATGCTCGGAAAAAGGTCTCCCGACTCGATTGAGAGGTGCCGGCTTGCCAAGAGGGCGGCAGCTGCAGCAGTCGCTGAAACGAAAGCCCCCGGGGGGCATGGGAGGAGTTTGGAGAGGTCGTGGAGAGGAACTACCGGGCAGCCTCAAAGATGTTCTGGCAAACCATCCGACGCCTTAGGAGGGGTCGACGGGACGTGGCCCAGGCTATTCTCAGTAAGCGTGCCGTAACATTGAACTCAACTAAAGAGATACTCGAGAAGTGGAAGGAACACTATGAGATGATAGGACAATAGTCTGAGTCCATAATTGGCAATAAGTAACGGCAAAGCAGTTATAAGTGACTCACAGAATTGTGCGCAGTTGCGTACACAGTACACGACTTCCCTGAAGGCATACCTTCAGCGAGCGCAATCCCGATCACACAACGCGGTTCGAATGCGACTCTCGATCGATGGCTGCGCCATCACCGCACACGCGTCGAATAAAAAGCAAGGGACAAGTCCTTACTTACTAACAACTCCTTACTCACTAACAACTCCTTACTTACTAACAACTCCTTACTTACTAACAACTCCTTACTTACTAACAACTCCTTACTTACTAACAACTCCTTACTTACTAACAACTCCTCTATCATTTTTCATTGCTGGAGGGGTTGCCCCCCCTACCTGAAAATCCTGGCTTGGCCATTGATAGAGAGTATCCAGTACTGGGGCATGGAGATTCCATCGCTGCTTTTTGCAGATGACGTTGTCCTCTTTGCCTCGTCAGTCTGTGACCTACAGCGTGCACTTGAACGGTTTGATGCCGAGTGTGAAGCGGCTAGCATCAGGATCAGCACCTTCAAATCTTAGGTCATGGTTACTCCTGGGAGATGGTGGATTGTTCTCTCCAGGTGAGGGGGGAACAGCTGCCCTCAGGGTCTCTTTCGCGAGTGATGGGAAGTGGGAGCGGGAGATCGGCCGGCGGATCGGTGTGGCATCCACAGTGTTGCGGGCGCTGTACCGATACGTGGTAGTGAAGCGGGAGCTGAGTTCTTGAACAAAGCTCGCGGTTTACAAGTAGATCTACATTCCCACCCTCACTTATGGTCAAGAGCTTTGGGTAATGACCAAAAGGATGAGATCGTTGGTATGAGGGGTTGAAATGAGGTTTCTCCGCAGGGCTGCCGGGCTTACTCTCCGTGATCGGGTGAGGAGCTCGGTAATCTGGGAGAGCCTCAGAATCGAGTTGTTGCTCCTCCGGTTCGAGAGGAGCCAGTTGAAGTGGTTCGGGCACCTGGTAAGGATTTCCCCCTGTAGACTCCTCCTGGAACATTACCGGGAATGTCCCACCGGGAGAAGATGCCGGGGCCGGCCCAGGACATGCTGGTGGGGCTATGTCGTTCAGCAGGCCTGGGAACGCCTGGGAATTCTCCAGGAAGAGCTGGCGTCTGTCACCAGGGAAAGGAGGTGTGGACTGCCCTACTCAACATGCTGACGCCACGACCCTCACCAGGACATCCGGACTGGGAAACGAACGAACATTGTGTTGCAAATTAATTTAATACTGGTATGTAATGTCTGTTTTGAGAGATGCCCATTTATTTTGTTTGGAGATATTTATAAACCCAGCCTGTTCTATCTCCCCTAATATTCATTCAACACAATTCCTAAACTAAATCGTGAAAAAATTACATGTCAGTCCACTGCTGAATACATCAGAGTACCCCCCCCCCCCCCCCCCCCCCACGTTACGCTAAATTGTTTTGTCCGTTCCTCACCACGCTTACCATCAATCAGGGCGGATCTGGTGAAAGGGGGAAGGGCCAGCAACAGCCCTGACGTTAGCCGTGTCCAAGCATCGAACACCAAACCAGGTTCACCGGGTTCATAATGCACTGCGCGACCACGACGTCATTTGGCTAAGGGGAAATTTAACTGATTGTGTTTTTATGCAGCCATTCTCTCCTTCTGTCTGGTCTCTGGAATGGCCAACAGACTCGATACGTGAGGTCGCTTTGCTCAGTATTGCTGAACCGAATTGTGTATTCAACATGTGTTCCAGCACATCTTGTTTGCCTATTGCACTGATCCAACACAGCGTGAGCGTGTGCATGTTCTACAGAGTACCCACATGGTGGTTTTCATCATGTGACGTAAACGTCTCGGGAGTATGGTATGTTTAGGGACGCCAATGCGTAGTCTTGGACATACACCTTGTGAAAATCACGCAGGGATATACAGTAGTAGCAGCCTGAAATTCGCTTTCGATGTGTGTGGAATGGATCTCATTGGACGAGTAACGTATACGGCACTTAATTAAAGCAGGCGACGTGGTGATCAATTTGATGACTCGCAGTGATTCTTGGCCAAGGCGTGATGCAAGCTCTCAAAACTCGCCACGGGGCAAGACTAAATGGCATTAAGCACAAGAAGCGACTGGAATTGCCACTTGTCCGCCCTTTGCAATGACACGGATATCAACGCTTCTTCTGATCAAAATCATTATTAAGTCAGAATCAGATGCTTTATTTAGACTGGAGGAATCCAATGAGCTAATGCGCTCTCTTACACAGGTGTCCAGTAAAGTACTGGGCTGATGTACCTGACTGATTTATTACTCCTACTTTTTAAAATTCAAAATCTTCCGAATCTGATTATATCATGGTTAGCCGAATTCGCTGTATGTTTTATGTAATCAAGAATCATTGCCTCTTTGGGGAGATGCTTTTTTCGTCGCTTTTGCCAACGTACCGCAACAACATTACAATGAACAGATTGGTTTCAGGTGGCATTCCCAATTCACTCCAGGGCCCATTTCTTCCTTCTCTTCTTCCACCCCTAAATTCCACCTTTTTTGGTCCATTCCCAGCAGCCGAACTCCTGACCCCCACCCCCTCCTCAAGATCTCTGCAGTCTCTCTCTCTCTCCGCCTCTCCCTCTATTCCTGGCCACTTCATGCCCCCCCCCCCCCACCCTTGCCCTCGCCTGACTCTGCTCTCTCCCCCCCTCTCCCCCTTCCAGCCCCGGCCCTCCGCTGGCAATCCTGCAGGGCACGCGGGTGTCACCGCTTGGACACGCGGCGCCGCGTCACGCGCGGCGTGCGCTGCACGCGCCCAGCACGCACCACGCCCAGCGGCGGAGAAGGCGAGGAGGGTGAGGAGGCGGGGAGACACTGACGGAGGCCGGGCTATGGTTAGGGATGGGCCTACGGGTAGGGCAGGGGTCTTCTCAAGACTGCTTCGTGACGTGAGTTATGAAGAGCCAACGTCTCGTATTCAGCACGTGCATTGCGGCGCTTAAAAAAAAATTGTTTTAACTGAATCTGGAAAAAAATGTCTCTTCTTGTTATTTTGTTTGCCGACCCCTGGGCTAGGGCTCTGGATGGGGCTAGAGGGGTAGGCCTGTGGATAGGGCTAGGGTCATGGTCTGATTTGCTTATGTGACCGGTGTAGTGTGGTTAGCGTTGCAAGTCTGGTTGGCTCGTGTTTGTTAGGGTGAGAGACAAGAGTTAGGTCAGATCGACTAGTGTGGTCAGTGTTCCGGTAATGGATAGGGTCAAACTTTTCCAGTGTTATTATGGTAAGGGATATGCCTATAAGGTCTGGTTAGTGCGGTTAGGGTCAGTGCGTATGGCTGCCGTCTGATTGGCTAGTACTGATGATTGGCAATGTTCTCGGCCTTGGTCAAAAATCCGAAGCCAAAAAGACCGACAAAATGCTACCTTTAGAGTCTCTTCTCGCTGGGAATGCATCCACAGTTTCAACACTGCTAACGCTCATTGATGTTTCCGCTGCAATTAATTGTAAATGGCACGTACGGCGAGCAGCGAGATCCAGGCTTTCCACTCGCTTAATATTGGCATCCGTAAAAATCACAAAAAAGCACTCGGCTCTGACCGGCGGTACCCAATATCCAGCACACCGTCGTTGAACGTGTCGCACACCAATCAGGCACTGCCGATTGTCTGAACTGCGTCCAAACTGTGAATCCCGGCTGGCTCGTTGCCTTTTACGAGCAAGCAATATCACCGCATCTGCTCTCCATTCCGCGATTGGGGCAACCCCTCGCCACTCGTCATCCTTTCCCACACGCGACGTCGGTGCTCCAAGGAACCTCTGCCGCCCTGTGCCACTTCTCTCGAATGCCCTTGTGCGCCAGTTATCACTCCAGCTTTCAGGACGCATCAACTACCAAGGTGCCTCGTGTGGCTCATCGCCCCACTCTGTCGCAAGATCTCCGCGAGGACGCAGCGTGGAGGCGTTTCACTGCTCTCTGGAAAACCACACCACCACCGCCGTTCACGGGCAGGCGGGACGCGGGCAGAGATCGGCATGCCTGCTTGTATGAATGCGCTTATTGGTCCTTACATAATCACCGCCTAAACTGCGCATGATGAAATATGAATTCCAATTGCACAATACAATAAGAGAACACATTGCATGTGCGGTGTCTGCAGATGGGTGTCATAAAAACCGCACGGAATTACATTTGTCGGTATTAATTCACACATTTGTAGCATTTGATAATGATAACAATAACATTGGTCTTTTTATTTGCCCTTAAATTTATTCTGAAGGAATGCCTGGCTCCCACCATGGGAATATGGAATTTTCATCAACAACTCAATGTTAAACAACAGATGATTTGGTTTGGCTTTTTACAGAGGCAGGATTGCCATTTTGCATTTTGAGCACCACGAGCCAAGAAACGATGCATCTGCACCACACATCATTTGGGCCACACTACAGCCAGCACTTGGAGCACCTTTGTTCATATACGTATGAATACACACATCAGAAAGTGTATTCACTGATTGGAAATATCATTTAGTGCTTTGGCCCATTGGTCCACTCGACGTAGGTATTTTGAATCGGCACTTGTTTCACGGCTACGCTGTGCATGGAGGCAGGGTGATTGGATCACAGAGAGGTGATCTCGTGCTAACAGGTGGCCAGCATTTAATTAATAACACTGAAATAATAACCTAATTCAATCACACATTTAAATTGCATTTTATTATACTTCTATGGGGGTGGAACAGTGTGCTTACCACTGTGCCACCGCTGACCCGATTCTGTTATTTTACAATATAATATAATTATTATAAAAGACTGTATTCAGCAATCATTATTACTGAATAATTATTACTGAATACTTCTATCAGTGTTCTCCCATGTGGTGAAACTTTCTATAAATACATAGATACACACACGTATAATAACACATATTATTCGTATATTTTAAGCATATGGAGATATACGGAGCTATAATGCAACAGCAACTTTATAACTGCTAATTCAATTATGACTGTGTAGCGTGTGTTTCCGTGAGAATGGTTATAACCTTTGCTCTATTTATGGGCGTCATTCATGATGTGACATTGCCGCTGGGCTGTTCTGCTGTGGTATTTGTGGCTTAATTCGGGAACCCGCGCATGATTCGTGACAGCGCGTCTCCATAATATATGCCTCATGTGAAACACTTGAATACTTGCAGGTTTACCACTTGGCCAGCATCCCTGGCTGGCTGGTCACCCAGTTGATCACTCAGCCAGCTACTGCATCATTTACCCATCCAGCTACCCAGTCATTCAGCTAGCCATTTAATCCAACCAGCCAGTTGTTTAATTACTCAACCAGATGTTTAGCCAACCAGCCACCCATCCACTGAGCCAGCCAGCAGGCCACTTAGCAAATTGCACAGCCAGTCAAATCACTCAGTCAGCCACTCAGTAAACTATACAGCCACCAGCCATGTAGCTCACAATAGGAGTATTATTACCGGTGACTGTGAACAAGACATGTTAGATGACATATCTTCAATTGCATATAGTTTGTATGAATGGGATTGCTGGATACTATTCCACCTATATATTTGCATGTTGAAATAGCAATTTTGTATCAGCATATTTAACGTTGTCATGAAAAATAGCTAAGTAATAGATAGGTAGTGAAACAAAATGGAACTTAGAGGAGGAATGCCTTATGTATTCTTTGGATACTCGAAAATAAGATTAAAACAATATTAACTTCAACAGAAATATTTCCACAATTATCTACATTCACACTTAATGCTTTGTGATCTCAGCCAGAGTCTGTTTAAGGGAGCACACAGAGATGACAGGTTGGAGATCCCAGGAGTAGATGACACCAGATGGTTCTTCAACATTGGAGCTGGTACGGAAAACTAAAAATATAAATATATGAACCGTCGAAAAACAATTTAACACACGTTGCAAGTATTTTTATTGTATTGTAATGGTTCTCACATATCTGACAAATACTGATCCTTTATATTGCCAATATCTTGCCTTATCAATGAACAAAGCCCAATTACTAACTTTTCCCAATAAGACATGGGTGAACTCGAATTACCTATTCTCCTGCATCCAGTAGTGGATTGAGAAAGCATACAAAGTATTATTACAGTATTCTTATGTGCGTGTGTGCCTCCACTTTTCGCCCCACAATGCCCTTTGGTACGGCGTCTTGAGACGCATTTTGCTTTGATAAGCCACGCGAATCCAAACTGCATTGCAGCTGGATTAATTACTATTATTATTATAATTTTAGCAGTATATCAATCACGCGGACAGACGGGCGTGCAGCGGTCGCAGGAGACGGACGGGGTGATGTGGGTTTGCGTGTATTACGATTTTTAGCTCCAGGTGAGCGGCAAAGGTGGGTGTGAGGAAACCAGCCACCTGTCACGCCGCACACAGAGCCGCGGGGGTGGCGTCTCGCGAACACGGAGTCTAACCGGGCACGCCTCATGCTTCAGCGACATCTGATGCAATCGTGCAACAGGATTGAGCTATTGCACGATGCGACAAACCGCCCGTCTCGCTTCGGTAAATCACCCACCGCAACTGTCACGCTCGGCCCTTCCCAGCTGCCGAAGTGAACCTGGTGACACCGTCTCATTTCACGTGTTTTTTTTATTTATGTATATGTTAGTATCATCATCATCATCCTCATCACTATCATCACCGTTGTCGTCATCATCATAGTCACCCGGATTTCTGATTCACTTCCCCACCATCGTTTGCGTAGTAATAATTGGTCCTCTGTGCTGAAAAGCGTCGAGGACAGTCTCAAGACTCATTTGAATGAGGGTCCTGCCATGTGATGTTTGGACAATTTAATAGTGAGTATCATTTAATCGCGAGTATCATCAGTCGTCCAGAGTGCCACTTTGTGGCACAGCAGCAGTTTTTGTCTGGATAGACTGTCCACCGGCCATGGGAATGTGGGATTTACATTATTGGCTCAGGGCCTCCTATGGTGATGATTGCCAACCTTGTTGTGTTTCAGCAAGAAGGCCTCTCGAGCTTTGACTTCATCACGTGGCAAAGACACCACAGTGCCCAGGGAAACCCCACACACATGAGGAGATAGCACTCAGAAGTCCGCAGAGACGCGTCATACATCTACTTGCTATACTGGCATGTACTGGGCAACTCATTGGTGTCTCAAGATAGATGATGACCTCTTCATGATCCACCAAGCTCTCCTCCAAAGTACCGGATCGCGGCTGTGCGTCACCATTGCTGCCTGCGACAGTGACCTTGCTTCTCTATTAGTCTGTTACATGACCCCCCCCCCCCCCCCCCCGAGTCCACGGCCTGCACACTACAAAGACGAAGATCCCTCTATAGCCTGAACAGACGTTTTGGGGCAAGTGCTGTGAGCGAGCACCTGTGAAAGCCGGCACATGTGGAAGCCCTATCCCTAACTCTGAATATCCTTGCAAATGAGTTTGTCCATCTCCAAGGGATCATCCAAGTAAGATATGTAAATAAATAACTATATATTTAGTAAAAGTATCATATCACTTGTTTTATCCAACAGCCACCCTTGGTATGACTCTCTTGTTCAAGAAAATGCCTCTGCAAAATGATGGCTGCGTGTCTAAAACCATCCCATTGTGATGGTCAACATACGCACGAAACAACCAAAACAGTTACAGAAGAAGGTCCATGTGGAGCCATGAGAGCAGGATGGGTGATGAATGGGTGATGGATGGGTGATGCACATGCACCGACAATGGGAATTTCTGGCTAAGTTTAGGCACTTTTTATCAAGCAGCCCCACCAAAGGCTCAACAAAACATGACCACAACTTGGAAGTGAATGTGGCTTCCAGATCAAAATTCTGAATGCGGGAGAGAGTGTGGCGTGAACTTTAAATGGGAGTTTTGTTTTGTCGAGATTCCATATGAATAGATTTGTGGTGGCTCAAATTATTTTTTATAAACGACACTACAGTTATATGACCTCAATATGACTATATTCACTAAATTACTTTACGTTGTATGTACTATGTTAAAATGAGCGTGACTCAAATGTGTGGAATTTTATAAATGTTGAACTGTTTTGCTTGCTCTCAAACGAAACGTGCCTGTTCGAGTTTTGAGTTATGGTGCATTTTTAAACCATACTTTACCAGCATTCGCCCTCTAGTGGATAATGCCACATACGCCTATTATAAAGGCCTGGCGTTCCGTTTATCCGTTTGTCCATCAACTAAATTGAGAGCCTTTCTTAAGGCCTGAAACAAAAAGTTATAGAAAGTGGACTCCCCCAGGTGTGCGGGTAAAAAGTTGATTCAACAGGTTGCCAAAAAATCGTCGACCCCCCCAAATGTTTTTTCACTCTCCCAGCCCCCCTAAAATACATTTATTTTTTAGGCAGGTATGCCTACATCTGCCCCCCCCCCCCCCCTTCACCACTGTGCAGACATGTCTCAGTCTGACTTGTCGGTTACTTTTGATCAGGGCTGGTGGTAAGCAGGTGTTGCTCTTTTTAAATAGTACTGTGCATAAGTACCAGCGAGCAAAATACCTTCACAGAAAATTTTAATTTGCATCAGACGCTTCAAATTTTCAGGAAATCAAGAAGACCCATTTGGTGCTTGGGAGACTGACTAATATCACAACAAGTACAATCAACCTAATCATTGTTTCATCCATTATCCAGAATTACACATATTTCCATTTATTGAGCATTTATTTAGAGTTTTGATAGTTGCGGTCATGGATGGAGGGTGAAATAAAACATATCTAATGAACTTGAGGTGTCTACACACATGGGGGGGGGGGGGGGGGGGCGGAAAGAAGAGGACATCATTGGTGGCGATGGGGGAGGCGCGAATCGCAGAGAAGCCCTCCACAGGAGTTAGAATAAGGCGGCCAGATGCAGCCGTTATTTCAGCTTTATAAACACGACACTCTCGTCCATACCACTGTGCCTTAAAAGGGACACGATACAATAGGCAATGTTTTGGGCAATGGTCCTTCTTCATAAAACATGGCCCTTCGTCATAGCACATAGCACACATCACCTATGTGTATTCTGCTCTGTGAAATCCTTAGCGTTTTGCTGTTTAGCTACAAATATAATACAGATGTATCAGCCGAAGCATGGCTTCCATGAATAAGCTTGGTGTCGTACATTATCGGAACTTAAATTCCTGGTTACCCAAGAAATCTAAAAAATAAGATTCCTATGTAAATGAAAGTGTACATTGCAAGTTTCAAGTAAATTTTTATTAACCAGGTGAGCACTAAATACACCAGGATGAGTCTCGTTTGCAGGCATAACCTGGGTGCAAGACATAACAAACAAAGGATGTGCTATACTTTGTTTTTTTTCGGTAAAGTCACGTAGGTAAAATAAAATAAAATAGAACAATTAAATCACGACGTTTCGGAGGCAACACAAGCTTCCGTCTTCAGGTGGAACAGTCATAGCAGAATTTCTGTGTCAAGTGCTAAGAAATTCTGCTGTGACTGTTCCACCTGAAGACGGAAGCTTGTGTTGCCTCCGAAACGTCGTGATTTAATTGTTCTATTTTATTTTACCTACGTGACTTTACCGATAAAAAACAAAAAGTATTAATCCTTGCAGTCACGAAAGCTTCAAATCTAGAAAGGATGTGCTGCTCACAAACAGCAGGAAGCGACGACTCCCATCATGCCTTGCGTGTGCATGTCATTTGACCACCGTATTGCATGTACTATGCTCTTAGCCTTGTCTAGATCACCAACTCAAAAGAGAGCTGAACATATGGCCATATTATTGCTTAAATCGCCACCCTAAAATAGGTTAAAGGTTGGCCGTCGTTTCAGGATTTGCCCTTGTTTGTTACGGGAGGAATATGGGCCTGTGTGGGAGACATGGTGCGTTTTTATAAGGCTGCGAGCTTGCCAGCAAATTAATTTCAGCATCTGTATCCAAGCAATGAGAAGACGTGGAATATATCTGTGCGTATAAATCAACACAACTTCTCGTGAACAGTACATCTTTCTTTCTCTTTTTTTATTAAAATATTGTGCGATACACGTTATCAAGTATAGACTCTTAAGTGTAAAATGCCCACAAAAGCAAAATAACAAACTTGCATTGTGTAGGCGGGCTTGCTGTCATCACGCACAGTGGTATGAGCATGTGGTAAGATGTCTTACACATTCACACAAGTGCCATGGTGTCAACGTTATTAACAAAGTTATTATATATAGTTATATAAAACCAATCTTGTACTTACGCATTTGAAGATTGTAATATATACTTAGCAAGAAATACAAAGTAGCGAAATGTTCATTTTCAATGAACCCAAACACTCTCTCTTTTAAATACGGCCTGCTATAACGGTACAACTAAGTTATTTGAGGGAAAAATGCATAAGTTACAAAAAAAATCAACCATCTACAATATTCAACATTTTCATCGGTGCTAAATGTTGCAAATGCTTTCAAGTGTTATCAGCTCGAATGTGGCTCAGCCTTAACAGACAACACAACCCAACCAACACAGCCCTTGGATTTGTCGAACGGCTGGCCCAAGGCTACGAGTCGCTGGCTATTCGACGGTGGCCTGCAACTATATCGATGATCAAAACATAACTTATAGTAACGTTTACAGAGTGCTCTTCTCGTGTAGTGAATTCTATACGTTTGATTACCCCAACATCACTTGGGCGAAATCGCTCGAGTGCTGTGAATGTGCTGCCGGAAGTCACTTCGAAGGAATTTATTTCCGCGAACGAAACGTTGTACTTGCGCTGGGGATTCGCGGCATGCAGCCTAGGTGTGCACTTGCGTCTACAAAATAAGAGCCGCTTGCTTTACAAGTTAGCGTCCTTCCTTTAAAGCAGCCGGTGATGCACGCAGCCAAAAAAAACCCCTCGTTCAGAGCACAATCCAGGTGCAGTGCCGGGTTCCACCCATCAGGTCCCACCCGTAGGGTCCTAGGAGTGGGGGTCCCTGTTGTGAGGTCCCATCCATGGGGCTCACTGCCGTGGGTGCCCCACACAACGTAAATGAAGCCGCCGCCGCCGCCGCCTCTTCGCTCTCCACGCGCCCACAGCGGCGTCGCAGTCTCTCGCGTCAAACAAACAAAAAAAAATAGTCAGCGCCGCTACGCGCAGCCGCATTCTTCCACCACCATGTCGGGCACGTCCTTCTTGATGATGTTATTCTGCTTGTCCAGGTACAGCATCGACATGGAGGTGAGGCGAGTGGGTACGCAACACGGGTTCTTGGAGGCCATGGGCTCCACTCCGCGCAGCCTGTACTGGTTGATGATGGCGTTGTGGAAGGACGCGGATGCCCCGGGCGTCCCGGCCATGTAGAGCGGACACTTGCCCAGGCAGAAGTTGCTCTGGTAGCCGCTCGGCTGGATGATCCAGTCGTTCCAGCCGATCTTGTGGAAGTCCACGAAGAAGCGGTGCAGGCAGCAGAGGTCGGAGCGGTCGTCGCACTGCAGGTCCCGCCTGCTCACGCGGTGTGCCATGTCCGAGCCCATGTGCAGCAACAGGAAGGGCCGGTAGTCCGAGTCCGGTGAGTCGCCCCACCGCGGACCCAGGGTGGCCCTCACCCCGCCGGCCCCCTCGCAGCCGTCGCACGTCACGCGTACGCTCAGACCCGCGTCGCCCCGGGACAGCGCCGCCTGCACGGCCTTCGTGAGCGGGAAGGTGGTCCAGTGACTCCGGCTGGCGACCGCCACGCGACGATGCACGGCGGCCGTGCCGGCACCGTGGTGGCGCTCCCGCACGTGGAAGGTCACGGTGCCGTTGCCGCTGCCGCCCGCGTGCACGTAGAGCCACAGGTCTGCGCGCAGCACAGGCGACCTCTGCTCGCCCGACTTGGAGAACGCGAAGTGGATCTCCGATGAGTGGCCGCCGTCTGCAGGGTAACGCACAGTGCGTGAAGTCAGAGGCAACGCATCGGAGCCACGTGTTGCTGTGGTTGTGCGTGTTGCTCGTACGCCTGTGTGTGTGTTGTTTTGGTGATGTTGTGCTCATGTCTCCATCACAACGGTGGTCAAATCTACAAGGCGGTGTTTCACGGATGTAAAATTTGACCCAGAGCGTCTTTCATGGCTCAAATGACTTTAGTGTTCTGAACCAGTCGCGAAATGTCCAAATTTCAATGGCTGGGACCGGTTTCTATAAAAGGACACCCATTTTCGGCTTCCAACGAAATGAACCTCGGTTTGTCAACCCTGAACGGGAGTTGACTTCGTGGACCTTAAGATTGTCATTCAAGCTGAGCTGGATACGTTATTTGAAACACGATGATCGTGGTGGGTGACTTCGGTGCAACGCGACAAATTTCCCAGGGCGATGCCTTTGCTTGCACACAACACATTACTTGTGCCAGGTGGTATGTGGTCGAACACCTGACTTGTATTTAGAAAATCGTGAGTTCCAATCACACTCAGGGGGTTGAATCAGCTCGTCGGCAGCCTTCCAGGGTGGATATCATGAGTGGCGCCTTATCGGGAGCTCACAGTGGTGTTTCTAGGGCCCTTGCCATAGTAATGTGGAATTTCCGCCACTGGTTCATGATCGCCATCGGACATGAGCGCAGCGCCGTGCTCGTTTGAGCGTGGACACTCTCTGAGTGTGTTTTACGGATTGTTTCTTCTGTCTGTGTTCTCGTTGGTTGAAGATTTTAAGTCACTGCGTGAATGGTGATCCATGAGGATCGTAATAAAGATGCATAACAAAAAATTATCAGCGTCTCTCAGCGATTCTATAAGCTCTGAGAATGTTCCTCGACACATAGCACAAGATAAATTATTAAATTCTGTAGTGTTCCACAAATATGAAGAAAAAGTATTTAATCAAAAACAAATCTGCTTAAAATACGGCTATTTTAAACGAAAGTCGCACAACAAACGAACGTCCATTTGTTTTGCATGCGGTATCTCTTGGATGACTTCGCTCAACCTCGTCAGAGACCACAGAGACGTCTGTCATCACTGCCACGACTGTGGGTTTAATGCTTAAAGTAATGGAATTTTTGTCAGGCCACGTACCATGGGTAACTTTGGTGAAAGAGTGTCCCATAGTCTCACTCCCTTTCTAAAATGTATGCTGATCATTCATGCAATTGGGGAAGCCTTCAGCCAGCCGTTGATAGATCCAGCACTCACTGATTTACTCCAGCTACTCTCTCACCGGCGGTCAGTTGCATTCTATCGTGAATCCCATGGTTAATGCTCCCATTAACTTCACTCTTTGACTCTTCCACCCGTGTTGAGGACTGGGTCTAGCAGACTGACTGCTTCGTCTCATCCCGACTGTGTTCACGCACCATACTGCAGGTCACAACTCCTTTCCTTGCACTTCTCGACTTTGCAATTCCCTTCCACCATCAGCATCATCGTCTCTGTTCTCAAGTTCTCACATTAACCTTGCTCGATTCAAGAAGCGTTTCGACTCTTATCTATTACAACCTGAATCCGTACTGGTTGTTGCTGGCTGCTTGTTATTCTTGGCCTCAGGTTCTGTTCTCAGCAACCGTGATGAACAAAATAAGATCACGGCTGATTTCTGGTGATGACGTGATGGGAAGCGGCGCCTATGCAGTGCATGATTCCTCGAGCCCCACCCACGCCCACAGCGGATTCTATGTCAGTCCTGTCGAGATAAATTTATCGTAACTCGTGACCAGGCACCCCAAGGTGCAAGGAAGTGTGGTGATCGTGTTAATGAACCCAATGAATTAATTGCGAAATAAATACCAACGTGTAAGTCATTCCACGAAACACACATTCAGCCAAATTATAACTTCCACGAATGTGCGTTACTCAGACGTGTCACAATTCGCTGCGTTGTGTAATAGGGAAATGCCACCAAAGAAATGCTACATAATTGCCACCAGGACACCCAGTCACGTCGCACGGGCATTTCCGTCTGTGCTCATGACATCCGTTACATTGCAATCACATGGGTGTCAAGAGAATGCTGTTTCTCTCTAAAATGTGATGTCTATTAGTGTAGCTATGTCAATTCGGGGTAGCTATTGTCCAGTGCCGCGGATGCACATTTTTCAATTAAAATAGTGATACTCAGCTGAGCAATTTCATAATGCGGAATGCAAGGCACATGGGTTTTTTAGCAATGCAACGCAGATTCTCAAGACTCATTTTCATGAGGGTTCCACTCGAAATGTGTTGGCAATTCATTGAAACTGGAGTGCCCAAAGGGGGGGAAAAAAACTTTCTGAGATTTAAAAAAAAACCCTTAAAGGTTAGGGTGCATCCCTGCACTTGCTTGTTCACGCCACTGCCGACAAAAGGGCCTTCACTTGAGAAGGCTCTACAATGTATGTTTTTGGCCTACTCTTCCATGCTGGCCAGACGTCTTGGAAGAGGTTGGAGTCCCCACACTTTGCCGCACCACCTACCATGTGCCGATCAACTAACTGTGGTATACTCATTTATACTACCCTGCTGGGTGGACAGGGGGGGGGAGGGAAGAATTCAGAAACTGATCCTTACGGCGGTACCCCGGGGTAACCAAACAATACTAAATGTCCGAGGCAATTAAATATTTTATTTCTGGGACACTTTTTTCCAGGGTTGAACTTCTCTCCACGACTGGGGTAACCAATCAATCCGAAATCAGTGCTACTCCGCGATGTCGAAACGCCGAATATTAGCAAAAAAAATCCATTATCGAAAAGTGCAACTTTGAATAGTGCACCGTGTACAGCTCGTCGAGATGAGTCGATTGTCACATCGCCGACCATCAACAAAGACTAAGAATTACTGCATCACGGACATTATGCGAGAGCCGGGGTACTATGGTACCCCGGGGGGTACCACCATAAGGTGCAACTTCACCATTGTTTTAACTGCCCGCGGCAGGAAATCGAACCGGTGACCTCGAATGACATGTATGTGTACGTGTGTTGAACTTCTACGTAGCCAACCGTGCTAATCGGAATTCGGGGGGAAGAACAAAACTAAAGACAAAAAATAGTTCTAAAGAAATTGGTTTTCGGAAAGAAATTAGTTTTCAGGTCCAGGGTGCTAAACATCACACCACGACATCATCCCATACTCGAAGATAACGCGAACAAAATATGTGGGGAGTTTAAAAATCGAGCACGCCTAATCGGCATTCATCCAATGGCCAGACTGGTTCCCGCCATGGTAAGGTGGTATTACAATGTCCTGTTCAGAGTAAATACCATACCCATTGCTCATATGAGCAGATGTTAGCTTGACTTCAGGAGTACTACTAAGCAGTAGTTGCCTAAGGGATAGACTGTTCCGGCTTTCGAAACGTGGAATTTGCAGCCTGTGATGGAAATTTATGAGCATTGCCCAATGAACGTTCAAGCGTGGAGACACTGATCGTGCAAACTAAAAGATTAATTACGTCATGTTTGTTTATTTATTTACCAACAGCCCGTCATCCACGGTTGCACGGATGTGAGAGGCTATGTACAGGTGTGAGTGGGCATCGGAGGGAACGAGAGCGCTTGCACGTGCGTGATTGTGCATGCACGTGTGGTCAGAGTAAGTGTGAGAGCGCATGCACGCGCGTGAGATTACTGGAGAGTAAGAGTGCATACACGTGCGTGAGAACAAGAGTGAGAGTGTATACACGTGCGTGGGAGCACATACACGCGCGTGGGAGCACATGCACGTGCGTGAGAACAATAGTGAGAGTGTATGGACGTGCGTGGAAGCACATACACGTGCGTGAGAACAAGAGTGATAGTGCATGCACGTGCGTGGGAGCACATGCACGCGCATGTGAGTAAGAGTGATAGTGCATGCACGTGCGTGGGAGCGCACGCACGCGCGTCGGAGTAAGTGTGAGAGTGGGTGAAAGCGCGTGAGTGAGTGAGTGGGTGAAAGCGCGTGAGTGAATGAGTGGGTGAAAGCGCGCGAGTGAGTGGGTGAGCGCGCGCGCGCACCGAACTCTGCGAAGCTGATGATCTCCGAGGAGTCGTGCGCCGCCCTCTCGCCCTCGTTGTGCCGCTCGTCCCAGTACTCCTCCTGCAAGCGCAGCCCGTTGAGCGCGGCGAGCAGCGCGGAGCGCGGCACGGGGTGCGTGATGTTGGGCCGCTCCTTGAGCCCCAGCTTGTCCAGGATGTGGCGCTTCACGGCCTCCACGAGGAGCTGCTCCCCTTGCTCCGAGTCGGAGAGGTGCAGCGACGCCGTGGCGCAGGCGGCGCACTCCGCCTTCCTGTGGCGCGCCTCGCCGCTCGCCTTGCTCCGGTCGCCCTCGTGGTGCCTCGCGTGCGTTTCGCGTGCCAACCAAAACCTGGCCGGGTGGGATGGCGCTGCCACGGGAGATCCCTCGGCCAACGTGGTGGCCAGTGGCAGTAGCAGCAGCAGCCCCAGGGGCAGTCCCGCCGCGCACACGTGGATGCTCACCGCCCGCATGTCTGCCTGCGTGCTCTGCACGAAGCGTCGTCTCTCCGCGAGGCTGCGTGCACTCTGTACGGCGGTGCGTGATGTGCACAGTTGGCTGCACTGGTTAATTGTACTGGGCATAGAGCGTGTACCCGTTCTCCTGCTGATGCTGCTGCTGCTGCTGTCAGCTGGACATATATACTGTCAGAGCATGGGGCCAAATGCATGCTGAGAGAGGAGAGCAGCCCTATAAGTGCGTGCGGTTGTTGCGAAACACTTGGATGGTTTCCCGTGTCGCATGCGCTAGCCCCGGTGTGCGCGCGCCGCATGCCGTGTCGGCAATGCGCGCTGCCGCCCGACGCGGGTGGGGGCCGGCATGGGGAAAGCCTCCACACACACGCACACACACGCACACACACACACGCGCACACACGCACACATACGCACACACACGCGCACAGCACTCCCCTGCCGCGAGCCAGGGAGGGGTGGAGCAGGGAGTGGGGGGATGAGGCTCATCTGAGACTGGCCCCTCTTCTTCTCCGTCCCCGCTCCCCCCAGGCCGTCCAAGAACACCAGAACCGCTTCGAAGTGCAGGACATTTGTTTGACTTTCAGGTCAAGTCAAATGTCAGTGTGTCTCCCCTGCTCAGGTTAGTCTGGGGGTGTTGTCTTGATCCTAATGAGTAACAGGTGGTGGAAACGCCACATTTTCTGTATTCCTGCGGTAGGGGTCAATTTATCTACAACACAATCGAGTCACATTCGTTTTATTGATCCTCAGTGGTCGATTTTAATATACTGTATGGCCCATTATATATTAATTATTTGGTGAGTAATGCAGTTAAACCAGAGGACAATCACTCAATGCTTTATTTATTTGATCGACCTCACAAGGATGATGGTCTAAGCCGACCCCTAACCAGATGGTCCTGAGCTCAGAATGCCAAACTCACAGCGCTCTTGAGAATCATCGATGCAGATGGATGTCTTTGCACAAAGTTCGAAAACGTATTTGTCTATGTGTGTTTGGTACAGTAACAGTGGCGAATATTTGAACCGGACCTGGGTCTCCCCTAGGTAGACTCAGCCTCAAATGCATACTTGGTGGGATGTTTAAACATCACCACAAGGGAGACAAAGGCGGTCGGGCGTGGCGCTGGCCATCCACCCTCCTTGTGTGCCGTGCCGGCCTTCATAGGTGCTCGCAAACAGCACTTGCCCCGACAGTCTGTTTAGGCTATACGGGGGATCTTTGTCTGGTCCAGTAATAATAGTGTAGATAGTATGACTGTTGTATGCAATAGCAATTGGTGTGTGCAGGATGGTTTCTTTTACAATTCCCTTCCGAATTTGTTATTGCTTTGATTGGGAGGAAGCCAGAGCACCTGGAGAAAAGCCACCGTGCATACGAGGAAGGAACACTCAAAGGTTAACACAGATGGGTTCAATTACCAATGTTTCGCACCGCTGTCATCTGGCTACGTCACAAGTTAGTCGTCAATTCACGTCTGCATTTTTTTACTGCGTGTAAGCCTCAAGGTATTGATGCCATCTTGACACACTGAGAACCATTTCACCTGCGTAGCATTCACAGGCTTCGTCACAATGTAGGTCAAAGTTAAGGGTAAATTTATTGGGTGCAGTTTGTGTTTGCCTGCGTGCATTATGCAAAACAACCCCCGCCTCATTCTGGTGCCACGTGGTAATACAGTACTGTGGTATGTTGTGAAAATGTACACTGGGGAAAGAACAGCAATACTATTAGTTGTGCTCATTGCCGCTGATATGTGCCACGGTGGCAGACGGGGCTCCAATACGGTGCCAGGTGATTGTAACCCTCCGCCTTACATTGAATCGCTAAAGGACCATAGAGAGAAAATCAAAGAATGTGCCGAATGCCCCGAGGGTACATGCATCCTTGACGCACCCTGGACAACCCCTGTTTGGTGGTGGGGCTTCCAGAAACAACAGGGAGTTGCTATGGCTGGCCACACGGATTGCCTGAACGTCGCTGGAGGAGATGCTGTCATTCCTCTGTCAGGAGCTGGACCAAAAGCACCTAGACTTTTGTGGGATACAAAACATCAGAAAGGTTACTGTTAAGAGTGGACCATTCATTCCATCTGGCTCGTTCGGGTAGGAAACCAGATACAAGCTGGACCGCAGCCAGAAATTGTAGGCATCAGTTGCCAATGCCTTGAGCTCGGCCAGTAAAGGGTGGGAGGTGTGGAGGATACTTGCGATGTATCATCCTAATTGAGTAATTTGCGGGATTTTTTAACTTGACTAATTTGACCCCATGACGCCGGCTCGCAACGGCCTACTCTTGCGAAATACGTCACGGCATCCTTAACGTCTGCTGTAATGCAGACGGTGCGCATTTTCACGGTTCATACACCCACAGTATTAATCAGGGAGGCCTCTGGATTCGAACTGTGAACTGCTGCGACAAGCGGCGAACGCGATACCGTTAGGCCACTTAAAAGCCCCCGGGAGGTCTGATGGACTGGTTAACGCAGCGGAGGATCATGTCAGACAACAGGAAGTGGCTCTTATATATCTTCTTCTATTGCAGTATATTAAAAAAACGGAAATTTGTGAATGTGTCTGTTCGAAATGTTTAGCATACTTCCCAACATGCAACAAACTTGAAATTTGGCGTGTGGGTAGCTTCAAAACTGTAAACAATGCAAACAGTATAAAACTAGACTTTTCTATTTTGGTGGGGGGGGGGGGCGTAATAATGGATTTATTTTGCACGGCAAGTGAGCGGTGACGTCACATCTGTTGCTGCCGTCCACAGACAATCTCCCCCCACCCTCTTCTTCTTCTTCCCCCCTCGCACACCTCCCTACTTGAACTTTCCTTCTTTTAAGTTCACAACGAGCTGATCATGTTCAGTCTTAAAGCGTCAACTGGCGGGGGGGGGGGGGTTAAACGATGATGGATAAACCGGTGATGGCTTTAGTGTGGAACCGGTGAACGCACACGAGCTGCTGATCGAACCACTAGGGGCGGGGTTGGGCGGAATGATGCAACAAAACCACCGTGCTCCATTCTTATAATCTTGGTTCTTTCGGTAAAGTCACGTCGATAGAAAATTTAAAATAAATTAAAATGAAAGCAAAAAAAAAGAAACTTTTTAGCTTTATTTAAATTTTTTTTATTAAATGAAAGCAACAAAACTGTTTTTTTGCTTTCATTTTATCTATATTAAATTTTTATGTATTTTAATTTTATTTCATTTTTATTTTCTATCTACGTGACTTTACCAAAAGAACCAAGAATATGAATTCCGGCAGTCGCAAAAATTTTAAGTCAAAATTTTGCTCCATTGTTTCAGCTGCCGCGCCGGGAGATTGAACCGATCGGAGCGCCGCGGTGGCGAGATGTTAACTCCCTCACTTGGTATGCAGGAGATCGTGGGTTCAATTTCGACCCTGACGCCTGTATAATTTGGAGTTTTCGTGTCTCTCACCCCGTGGTCGGGTGGATTTTTTCCCCTCCACATTTAGGAAACATACGTTTAGAGTATTTGGCTACTATAAATGTCCACATGACAAGCCACTTAATTGGGCAACCGTTTATGGCCAGATCGCTTCTGACAAAGCGCTATATATCTCAGCGGGCCTTACCTGCTGAAATAAAAAAAAACAGTTAATATTTTTTGTTGAGTTTATCTTGCAATCTCTGCATTGTTGGCCCAGTGTGTTGAATACCACTGTGACAGCTCCCTTCGTTTCTCATTAAGCGAAGGCTGAAGCGTGTTTTAGACAGGCGTCTGTCTCGCTATTCGTGCGGTAGACCGGAAACTGCGGTCTTTCGGGCGGTTTGCCGGCAATGCCAGAAAAAAAAGATTTCAACAAAGTGAAATATTAACTAGCAATGCTGGCCTCATTCGCGAGAGACCAACGCATGACCCTTCACCTACTGAAGGTGCCCCGGATTAAAAGCGTGGAGAAAATGGAATTTCATGACAAAACATTGCTCGAAATAACGCATTTCGAGCATATTCATGCAATCGATATCACGCACAACATTTGCAGTGCACGTGGCCTACAACATTAATGAGACTTGAATGGGTTTGAGAACGGTAAATTGTACACATGCACACATTTAGACTTCTATTTTCTACATCATGAGCCACGATCTCTCTACTGCTGGATGAAAGCCTCCCTACGTTGTCGCCACTCCTCGCGTTCCTGTGATTCCGTAATCCGCCTCGCTCCTCACGCGTAAACTGATCGTATCCCCTCTCCTCCAACGTGGCCGTCCATTGAGGTGTGTGCTCTTCTTTCCCATTTGCTTCCATTCCGTCATCAGTCTCATCCATTGGTCGTCATCCCTTCCTGCGAAATGTTCTGCTCAAGCCCACTCGACTACTTACTTATCTTCAGGCAATGTGACATCTCTATTTGCAAAACACGTAGCCGTGTCCCCCCAGAAGCAAATTAGTGTTGGGCAAAACACTACATTCATATGATAGGTTCCAGTTTACTCATAATGCTATTTACAATTATTCGCTGTAATGTTGTTTTTATTTTATGGACCTGGTAGAAATGATGGGCAGATGCGATCCTCAGGCAGATGATGAAATCGTGACCTGAGTTTCACGGGGGTGCTTTGCCCCAACTAATAATGTAATATGCACTCAAATAGCACTCTTATTTTGCGAGATATATTACGTAAATTAAATATACACCTTAATTTAGACATTGGTTTATAAGTGATTAAAATACATTTCTTGCGGTCATTGTTTAAAACTAGATCTTATTTGAACAAATGAATGGTGGTCTCAATGGGCTCTTATCTGGTTACTTCCCGTGGCCTCAAGGTGCACATTGCCTGGCACAAGCGTCGTGGTGACGTCACCGCCACCTAGTGGCGAATGGCGGTTGTTGTTATCTGGTTAAGAATAAATGTCACCGATGCTTCTTCAAAAATACAGACGTTTGGTCAGTTAGATTTTTCATCAGCTCATCCTCCAAACATTCACGCATTCCCTAAATATGCTCATATATTCCCTAAATAAACTCAGAAAGGCACAGTGTTTGCCCAGGTACTATGCTTCCCTCCTCCAACACCTCAAACACTCTTTCATGATTTTGGCCAAACATTCCAATACAGGACTCTCCTGAATAACCCCCCCCCCCCCCAAGTCTTCAGATTCATTGAGCTTTTCCAGGATAAATAAAGTACATTACTTTTAATGTTATCAGCTATAAACATTATTCCTGCCCCTCTAAACTCTTCGTCAAGTACACGCTGCACACCTCATAGTTTGCATGCGTGCACCCTCAACCATTTTCAGGCAATTGTGGGATAACTAAAACATTCAAACAGACTTGTTCGGGCAAAACTTTCACACGCAAAACTTTCAGCCATTCGGAGCGAACGCTGCCCGACATTTTCCAGCGGTCTGCATGAAAAAATCCAGGCAGTATCCATAAATGTTTAAGCAGTCCACCCGAACGTTCAGTTTGTCCCTGAAGAAAACCCGAAGCACCTTGGGAAATGTAACAGGACTACCTTTAACAGTGTGAATACACACGAGACGAGGAGTTGGCCCACAGACCTGCAAGTGCGGGCCACACAGTCGCAGACGTGGCTCAACACGCTGTCATTTTAATTGTCAGACAAAAAGTAAGCTCAAACAGTGAATGTAAACTCAAGCCACCATGGGATGCAGGAGCAAGCCCAGAGCCCCTTTGACCCACTTCGCAAGCCGGCCACGGTGAAATGTATTCCAATGTAATATCCGCTGACGTGTCCACGACAAACACGAAACATAACCTTTGTACGGAAGAAAGCCCCCCCCCCCATTGTCACCCTGGGTGCATGCATGTGGCAGGGAGTTCAC